CAGCTGAAGAAGTAAAAATTAAAGAGCAGATGGAAATGAGGAGCTCTGCAGTAGGTTGCTAGGTGACCTAGAAAGGAAGGTTGCTAGGGACAGGGATCCTGTCTGTTTTGGACTGAGTAGATCTCAAATTATCCTAAAAACTTCTGAGCACTCAATCTCTGTAAACAAAACAAAACAAAATGCTAAGCAAATACACACTCAACCACTGTGTGGGGAAGGAGGTCAAAAAACAAAATCAACAATAAAGTACTAAAAACAAAAAAGAAGAAAAGAAGTCCCAAAGGGCATTATCTTATTGGAGGACAACAGATTAAGCAGGCATCCTGCGAAGAAACACCTTGTCCCTGACTTCTAGTAGTATACTATTCATTTTGAGCTAAATTTTGAGAACTGCAATGGATAGTCCTGATGCTATGGGATGGGAAGATTCAAGCATCACTTCAAATCTAGACCTAGACCAGAGGTTCACAGTGTATTAGGGGATTCCTGGGAAACCATAAAAGAAGTATCTTTGAGGCATTACTAGCCCACCTTGCATAAGAGGGCTCTGCTTACCTACATTCTGGAACATGCCAGGAATGACCCTTACCCATGACCATGAAGTCAATTTCAACTCATAGGGATCCTATAAGACAGTAGAAGTACTCCACAGGGTTTTCAAAGCTGGAAATCTTTACAAATTCACACAGCCTCATCTTCTCCCACAGAGAGCTAATGGGTTTGAACCACCAACCATGTAATTAACAGTCTGATGCTTAACCCACAGTGTCACCAGGGATCCTTGGAATGTCCCCTAAGACTAAGGGATTAGCCCTAATGATAACCCCTCCCTGTTTTCCCTGTGCTCACAAACAGATTTTAGAATTCTACATCTCCACACAATTGTGCCTTCTTTCTCTCACTTAGTGCATCCAAGATGGTCTTTAAAGTGGCCATCTCTCCCTCCGCTGAGCACCCTCAACACTTTGCTTCTCAAATTTACTCAGCTTCAGACTGTTCTGTACTTACCTCTGAGCATAAGACACACTTGTGTACGATGGAGCAAGGGCTTGACAGGGTTGCCTTGCATGTGTGGGTAGCATTAGCTCTATTTTACAGACGGAAAACTGAAACTCTAGAGGGGAGTAAGTTGCACATAGTCATTTGTCAGAAAAGTGGTGGTACTATAGTATTTGGATTTTGGTGCTGTAGTATAATAAGCATTGGACTACTAACTGCAAGGTCAGTGGTTCAAATCCATCAGCCGATCCTCAGAAACTCCACACATGAGTCGTACTGACTCTATGGCACCCAACAACAACATGCTAACTGCAATGTCAGCTGCTCTGGGGGAGAAAGATGAGATGTCTGCTCCCTTAAAGATCTGCAGTCTCAGAAACCCTAAGGACAAGTTCTACTGTGTCCTCCAGAGTTGCTCTGAATAGGAATGGACTAGATGGTACTGGTTTGTTTTTGTTTTTCCTACTGCAACTTTCCTCACAAGGCCTGGAGAGCAGGATCTTTCCTATCCCCAAGCCACTCAGTACTTCCCCTACTGTAACTCTCTTTACACGTTACTTACTTTCCCTGAATCTTCTGGCAAACAGTTCATGGGGACAGGAAAGGTATCTTCCATGTTTTCTACTCTACCCCTAGTGCCATGTCCGGAATAAAAGAACCCTAATCAGTTGCCAACTCACATTGATGCCAACTCAGGGACACCTCAAGCATGTCAGAGTAGAAGTGCTTAATAGCATTTCACTCCTTTTAATAGCTATTTTTTCTTGGAAGTAGATCACAAGGCCTTTCGCCTGAGATGGCTCTGGGTGGACTCAAACCTCCAACCTGTTGGTTAGTAGCATTAACCATCTGCACCACCCTAGGACTGCACCATGTCTGTTGCTGTTAGGTGCTGTTGAGCCTGTTCTGACTTATAGCAACCCTGTATAGGTTTTCCAAGGAGCAGCTGGTAGGTTTGAACTATTGGCCTGGTGGTTCACAGTTCAGTGCTGATCTTACAGAGCCAGACCAGGAGTCCACCATGCCTAGTACAAGGGGCTAAATATCTGCAGTGTTTCTAGTTCATAGAATGGCATCTATGTGTTTATGAAAAAATGTTTGGATTCTTTATGTTTAATTACAAAGTTTTTGTTTCCAATCATTTTTAAGTGAAATTAACCAGTAAAACTAAAAAAATAAAAGGGAAATTCTTTCTATTTAAAAAACTGACTATGTTCACAAAACATAAGTTTTCTTCTGTTAAGGGTGTGTCACCTAGAATTAGTATAATCTATGCACACACATATATGTCTAGTTGTTGTTGTTGTTGTTGTTAAGTGCTGGTGAGTTGATTCGGACCCATAGCGACCCTGTATAGGGTTTCCAAGGAGCAGCTGGTGAGCTTGAACCACCGACCTTGCAGTTCAAATGACATTGCAGTCTGACGCATTAGCCCACAGCGCCACACCAGGACTCCTATATGTCTATACATACTACATATAAAAGCAGTTGTCTAATTACTTAGATACATTTTTATTAAGCACATGCAATATTTAGTGGAAATGCTGAAATGTGACCATCACAGGGAAAAATTTATTATTAACCAAATCTTTAAAGGAGCTCTGGTAGCGTAGTGGTTACGAATTGGGCTGTGAACCACAAGGTCGGCAGTTCGAAACTACCAGCTGTTCCGCAGGAGAAAGATGAGGCTTTCTGCTCCCGTGAAGACTTACAGCCTCAGAAACCTTGTACAGGGTCGCTATGAGTTGGAACCAACTCCACGACACATAATCACCACCAACTCTTTAAAAGAATACAAAAGCGTAGGAAGAACAAAATGTCTCTATCTTATTATATGTGGAGTATTTATAATAGCTCCAAACTGCAATGATTAAATAAATTATGGTGTGTCTGTACAATGCAATAATATACAGCAATGAAAATGGACAAACTATTGTACAGTCAACAGGAGTGATGAATCTCACAATCAGAACTTTGATTGAAAGAAGGCAGACACAAAACAATAAGTCCATTTATATGAAATTCCAATATGTAAAAAGACTATGGAGTTAGAAAGTGGAATACTGATGACTTTGGTCATGGATGGGGCTCGGTGAGCTCTGGAATGCTGGCGAAGCTGTACAAATACACAAGACACACACACCAGGGGGATTCAAAATGTTTGTGGAAGAATTCTTGTATCTTTTCATTCCAATTTTTCCATAAAATTCTTGAAGCTCCCGCATATATACATATACAGTCAGTTACCATCAAATCCATTTTGACTTACAGAAACTCTACAGGACTGAGTAGAACTTGGGTTTTTAAGACTGTAATTTTCAGGGAAACAGACCACCACATCTTTCTCTCATGAAACAACTGGTCGGTTCCAATGTCCTTTTGCTTAGCAACCCAATGCTTAAAGAATGTGTTACCAGAGCTCCTTCCATATATATACTAGATATGCGAGGTCTTCAAAAACTTGGTGGAAATTTTTCATTATCTTTCCATTCCAATTTTTCCACTATATATCTTTTTTGTTTTTGCTAAGTGCTATTGAGTCAGTTCTGACCCATAGTGACCCTGTATAGGGTTTCCAAGGAGCAGATGGTGAGTTTGAACCACTGACCTTTCAGTACAAATCAACCTTGTGGTTGAGTGTTTATCCTACAGTGCCACACCAGGACACTCTCCCTTTCTATCAACTCCTGGTGTGGAGTTATAGTATCAGCACTGAACTGTGAATCACAGGGTCTGCAGTTCAAACCCACCAGCTGCTCTTTGGAAAATCTATACAGGGAACTGACTCAACAGCACTTAACAACAACACAACTACATATATATATGTAGTTGTTTTATATATATATATGTTATGGTGTAGCATATGCTATGGTGTAGCGCTGTAGGATCAGCACTGGACTGTGAGTCACAGGATCAGCAGTTC